AACACCTGTCCAAAAGATTAAATACCTGAAAGAAAAAGTAAAATTTTATCAATAAATGCAAAACAAAATGACAAATGAATATTAACAGAAGAATTAAAATATTCAATACTAGCAGAAGATACTACCAAAAATATATTCCTAGCCATCTGTAACTGTGCATGTAATTGAAATTAAACATAGAAGGCAATACAGTTAGAATAGCTGCATGGAATAAAAAGAACCATTTAGATATCAGAAGAGAAACACTTTATCAGTAAAAGCATGTTATGAAAGTTACAGACTTACTGTATATACTTTACATAAAAAGCAAATGGAAGTAGGGTATATATGTAAATACACACACACTCATATATATGAATTTCATAGGATATATATAAATTTAAGTTACAAGCATAAAATTTGTTGAATGAAGTAATTACATATTAAAGAAGACAGTTTAACAAAGAAATATATCTTAGCTTCCCATCTGCTTTACTGGGTAACTGAGTAAAAAATCACTCAAGGCCTATTGAATCCAAATGGGTTTCCCTGGAGCTTTTTTCTCATTCTTTTCCGGCTTCTGGGATGGCAACTGTTTACCATTCTCTGAGGAGGGTGCAAAATTTTTGTTATTGTGGCAATGAAGCCAAAAATGAATGATCAGTGAGCTGTACCAGGCTGAACTTGCCCTCAGCTGGAACCAATAATCTGGAGTTCCTCAGCACATCTCTCTCACACATAAATATCATTTGTCAGCTAGGACACCCCAAGCATGTTTTTGTGGGAGGAGGATGTGTACCTTGGAAGCAGTAATAAACTCCCAAATCCTCAGGTTCCACTCTGCTGATCTTGAGTGTGAAATCTGTGCCTGACCCACTGCCACTGAACCCGCTTGGAACCCCAGAAAATCGTTTGGAAATCTCATAGATGAGGAGTTGTGGAGACTGGCCTGGCTTCTGCAGGTACCATTCTATAAAGGTGAATCCATCACTATGCACAAGGTTCTGACTAGACATACAAGAGACAGAGGCTTGATCTCCAAGGATGACAGGCAGGGAAACTGGAGTTTGTGTCATCACAAACTGAAATAATGAGAGAGAAGTACAGAGTTATGCACAAACTTCCTGAACAACCTTGTAATTTTTTAAATTTCAACTCTGATGTTTATTTTCACATACAAATTATTTATATCCTAAAATTTCCTTCTTATCAAAAAAAAAGTGAAACACAAGCCTCAGGGTCCTTCTAGTTAAAACTTAAACCATCCTATCCACCCATATCATAATCTTCATTATATAGCACATGTGCACTTCTGGAACTTCCCTCTAACAAATATACACCACAGAAGCCCCAAGCTGGAGGATAAGACCCATCTTCTCATACATAATATTTGTAATGAACAATGGGATTTACTGTTCTTGCTCCCTCCCCATTCTTCTTTCTCACTTCTCTCTCTCCACACCAGGAATCCAGAACAACAGCACGAACAGCCTAACTGGCAACATCATTTTGAGGAGGCAGCCTGAGGAGACTGAGCAGTCACTGCAACATGACAACTGAGCTTTTATCTCAGATTAGGAAAGGTGGGCCCTCCCGGGAGAGCAATATGCAAAGGCCCCTGATAGTGTTGCAGTATAGAAGGAAGAGATGTACAGGCTTCTTATGGTTGTAAATTTTTTAAAAAAAAATCTTCTATCATGTAAAGTGTATGAATGCTCACAGATGAGCACCAGGGAAACCAGGAATGCTGCTCACACAGAGCTTTCTCCTCAATAGAAGAAATGTATATCTGTTTTTCACCCAGAAGGCTGAGAATGGAAGTTGTTAATAACTGCTATCAGTAGGTTAAGGACTCACCCATATTTCCCAGAACGTTTATCCTAGAGTCTTCCTCTGTATACCTTTATCTCTATTTTCTGTTCTCAGTCAATTGAATCTTAGGGAAGATGTCGCATGTTCTTTACAAAAGTGTTAAAACATACACATGCTTCAGGCTTTACTGTGCACATGGAATTAAGATAATTATTACCATGTATTTTTGCCAAAATTGTACTGTATTAACATATGTCTAAAATAAACTGCTTCAGTCTCAAATGATACATATTTGACCAGGTGTCAGATTTTAGACATTTGAAACCAAATTAAAAATTCTACATTATTATTATTATTTATTATTATTATTATTATTATTATTATTATTATTATTAGGAAAGGCACTCTGACTGCCCCTCATCTGTTACCTCCTCTTCCAACTATAAGAGGATGTCTCCATTCCCCCACCCCTACCCTGCTAGACTTCTGAACCCACTGTAGCCTCAAGTTTCTCAAGGGTTAGGTGCTTCTTCTTCACTGAGGCCAGCCCAGGCAGTGTTCTGCTGTATATGTGTCAGGAGCTTCATATCAGCTAGTGTATGCTGCGTGGTTAGTAGCTCAGTGTCTGAGAGGTCTTGGTGGTCCAGGTTAGTTGAGACTGCTGGTCTTCTTATGAGGTCACCCTGCTCCCCAGCTTCTTCCAACCTTTCCCTAATTCAAACACAGGGGTCACCAACTTCTGTCCACTGGTTGGGAATAAGTATCTGCAACTGACTCTTTCAGCTGCTTTTTGGTTCTCTGAGATGACAGTCATGCTAGGTTCCTATCTGTAAGCATACCATATCGTCAGTAATAGTGTCAAGCCTTGTATCCTCCCATTGAGCAGGATCCACATTTGAGCCTGTCACTAGAACTCCTTTCCCTCAGTCTCTTCTCGATTTTTGTCCCTGTAGTTCTTCAGACAGGAACAATTCTGGGTCAGAGTTTTTGACAGTGAAATGGCAACTCTATCACAACACTGGAAGGCCTGTCTTTCTACTAGAGGTGGAATCAACAATTTTCCTCTACCCATTGTTGGGCACATCATCTACGGTCTCTCCTTTTGATTCCTCAGGGTATCTCACCTCCCTGGTCTCTGGTGGATTCTAGAGGGTCCCCTAACCTTATACCTCCCAAGATTGCCCGATTCCATTCCTTTTGCTGCCCTAAGGGCTTAACCCCTGTTCATCCCCCCAATAACTAGTCATGTTCCCCTTTTCCCCTCCCTGTGTACTCTCCAAACCAGATCCCTCCCTCCTTCTGTCTGTCCACACCTGATTGCTTTCTTCTCCCTCTCAAGTGGGATTGAAGCATTCTCACTTGAGCCTTTCGGTTTGTTAACCTTCTTGAGTTCTGTGAATTGTATCCTGGATATTCTGTACTTTTTTAGCTAATATCCACTTATTAGTGAATATATACCATGCATGTCCTTTTCTGATTCTGAGCTACCTCACTCAGGTTTATTTTTTCTTTTTTTTTTTTTTTTTTTTTTTTTTAAATAATTTATTTATTTTTGAACATGAAATGCTTTTTTATAGCATGTTTCACAAGGGGAGGGGGTAAGAGGGGCCAGATGGTGGAAAAGTACAAAATCTTCTTGGCCTGTGCCTTGAAACATGTCATGGTCTATACGGTACACTGCCTTGAATTATGATTTATCTGCTATTCTTCAGAAGATATGGTACCCTGCTTGAGTTACGGTCTCCCTGCTATTCTTCAGAAGATATGGTACACTGCTTTGAGTCTATCTGCAGTTTCCAAGCAGGATCTTGCAGTTGCCAAGCTTCAGGGAACATTGTGCAGGTGGGGAAAGGTAGGGGGTGAGGGTAAGGGCGAGGGTCCTGGCTTCTGGCATCTCCCCCTTCTCTGTTTAGTTAGAGAAGGCATCTTATGATCAATCCCAACTATGTGAATTTTGAATTTGGATGTCTAATTATGGGGGGTCTTAGACAAGTTCACAACCCTGAAACATTGATGTGAGACGAGTCACATCGATGGTCGGAGGCTTTAGGCTGTCGACGATGGGCAATGTCAAGGGACCCCGAGGCGGGTGAAAGGAGGGTGAGAGCCCTGTCTTAGGCCGTGTAGGCTGCACCCACTCCCAGCACCACACACTCCTTTTTGGGCCCCTGGGAAGTGGACCTACAATAATCCCGTCATTGGGCTAACTCACAGCCATCCTAGTCCCTTGTAAATGTTCAAGGAGACACATTTTTCAATTTGTGTTCTTACAGTCTGAGC